TAAGTGCGTTCGACCGACAAGATACAAACTTGAAGAAAACAGAATCATATAAGTACATCAGGTTTCATAGAGCTAAAACACTTCAAGTGCTACTCAACTGGCTTTAGATAAGCCAGTCCTTTATTAGTATATAAGTGCTTTGTTAGTAATTATATCGCTCGAAGTGGAGTCGAAAGAGATAAGATATACTTAATTGATCCTAAGTTGGAAACATTTGCATTACATCAGCATGTGTAACAGTTGTAAATATGTGGTGTTTATTTGTAAATCATTTAGTATAATCACACAAATTCTGTGTTTTATATTTAATAATTCTGTGTTCTTTATTTATTGATTGTTCAATACCTGACAAGGCCGGAGATGATGCACGGGAGGCCTCCCGTGCATCATCATTAGCATCAATATAATAATGGCATTTATTTCGTCAAAAACGTATAGAAATTAAGGAGTACAAAGAAACAAAGAAAACCAATGAAAACTGGGAAAAGAACAAATAAAAGAAGAAAATTAGAGCAAGAAAAAAGCAAATGCATATATAAGCAATAGTGGGAATATCCAATACCTGTTAGCTGGAGTAATCTGCAAATATAATTGTTTTTACTTTAGTTTTGAATTGTTGATGACTAGTAATACTTGAAAGGTCTGGGTGAAGTCCATTCCACGTTCTAACTCTGATTATGGATAAGCTGTTTGAGTTGATGGTTGTTCTACAGGGCTTGCTACACAACCAGTTAGGATGCCTGGTTGGGTGTTTCATGACTGTGGTTTGGAACTGCTTTTGAATGTTAGTAGGCATTTTGTTATGGAAAATGTTGTGCATAATCAGTACTGTTTTAAACTTAACTATATCAACAAATTTGAATAGATTGAGTTTTTTAAATATGGGAGTTGTGTGTTCATATTTACCAACACCACAGACGATTCGTAATACCTTTTTAATTAAAGTAGGTGTACATCAGCTCGGTAAAATCCTGTCAGTGAAACGGACAATTTTTTTGCACATTTATTGTATTATTCAAATAAAGCAAATGTCACTCTTTTATATCTAAAATACATGAATACCAGTGGGAAAATATATTATATATTTATTCAGTCATTATCAGGTATTGAAAGACATGAATGATTGGTTTAAATTCATAAATACATTTAATGACATGATATTTTGTTATTTTTATAACAAGCTGCATAAAATACATTGAATCAGGATCTTCAACCAAATTTCATATTAGAATGAAGAATATTTGACTATACATTTCTATGATTGTACAATTAAATTGTGATTTAAAATAACCATTTACAGCAGGACACACAGTACAGAGGAGTTGCTGCTGCTGCAAGCTTGTGATGTTTGCTGGGTTTGTAGCCATCAGTCTGAAAGGAGTTACACTGACGTTGTGTGTCATGATTTGCAAAACATTTCTGGGTAAGTGATTTCAATATGTTCTTGTTCAGAATACTGTCTTACTTTTCAGAAGTCTCAAGATTTGTTGTAACTCTCCTGTGAATTTGAACAGGCAATTATTATTTTTTCAACTTTCAAGCACATGGAGAAAGCTCTACACACATTACATGATAAACAACACTTTTAAATCATTATAAGTGTAATTACATTAAGTACAAGCATTTAAGTATTTTAAGCAACCCAGCTCAACCAAATGTATATGTTCCACATGTCTTTATATTATGTTAAACTATGTTGTAGATTAATTTAAAATGAGTTTATGTTGCTGTATATGTATATTTGTTGTATTGGTGTTGTGATTTGACATAGTAAATCATCATCATGTTTTTTTCAATGTCTTCATGCTCTTCAACTGTGACACAGGAACGCTAGAAGGAGATGGGCAATAAATGCTGATTGTGAATCTCATTGAATTGCAGATAATATCCGAAAACAGAAGGAATAACTGTAAACCACTGAAACAAGCTGTGTAAGACTTTAACTCCCCTTAAGGGCATTTTTGCCACACGCTCTATAAAAGGGCCCGGCTGCATGTTCACGTAACACAGCCCTGTTGACAACAGAGGGCGACAAAAGCTCACAGAAAATTCAGATTATATTTCACTTAGCCCTCCTGTCCCATGTCGAATAGCAGACCTACAGTAATGTGTCAGCATTGGTAAAGTTGCATTTTTTATTTTGTTAGGTGTTACTTATATGATTAACTTGTTGGTCCAAGCAGTGACCTCATTTAAAGAGTCCAATGTCATTGTCTGGGTCATATTTTGCCAATGGATCATGATAATTGTACACCTGGTTGCGAACCTTAAAACCTTTAGTAATTTACAAATGTATAATTTATCTGCTTTCATATAACTCAAAACAAAGCATCATTTAAAGGCAGATTACGTTTTTTACATTCATGATCAGATAATCTTTCTCAATAGTTCATCAAATGTTGTTTTTATAATCAACTTTTTCCCTCAACTTTTTGCAATGGATAATAACGGCCTGACATGCATCCCTCCAACCCTGACTATGCTCATGAAGTTGATTTGATTGACAGCATGCAAATCAATGACACTGTGTTGAACTGTATTTTCTCCACACAGCAGATGTTCCCTCCCTCAGAGGCAATCCTCAGTTCTCAGTTGGGTTGAAGTTCAGTGAAGGTCACAACTGTTTGCAGATGCACGTCTTGGCTTGCTGCCTCACAATTACATGTTTATATCCTCATGGAAAATGTCTGATATAATTGTAACTAAAATGATCCGAATTAATGACCCGTCTTGTAGACGATGACGATGGGTAATTCAGCTCAAAGTTGTTTTCAATGCTATATTTTGTCCTGGATGTCAAACATTCCTTATTGCAAACAATATTGCCCATTTCTATAAAGTTCAATATGTTCTCTCTTACACTGTGCTCTCAGAGCCATTAAAGGCCGCACTAGGCAAATGATGTAAAAACAAAAAAAAGAACGGATAAATAAAATCTTCGTGTCTCATCAGGTGATTTAAAACAAAAGATAGCTACCTGTTGCTATCATGTGCAAACAAAGTGCATATTTGCCTAGTGCAGCTTTAACAAACCAAGCAATTCAAATCTGCGAAAAAAAGACATTGTGAATTTTAGATTTGAACATAAATCTCTGCTATCAGACTTTTCCATCACATTCAGTCCTAACTCAGCACATCTCTGTAGATCTCTGCAACAGGTTTCGTTTGTCACACTATGGTACATTCAGGCCGTTCTACATTCCAGCATTTTCTTGAAGGCTTTCCTGAAGCTGTCGTCCAGGAAGGCGTAGAGGAACGGGTTGAGGCAGGAGTTGGCGTAGCTCAGGCTGGTTATGAAGTAGGAGATCCCGATCAGGAGTGGCGTGGTCCTCAGGTCTGTCGTCAGAGCCACAATGGTGCTGAGGTGGAACGGCGTCCAGCAGAACAAGCACACAGCCAAGACGATAAACACCATGATGGTCACTTTCTTCTTGGCTTTGTCCAGCGCTTTGGCATTGCTGTTGAGCCGCATGTTCCTCAGCTTGTAGAGCATCATGGTGTATAAGATGCAGATGGTGGAAACCGGAATGGCGAAGCCCAAGATGAGCGTGTAGATCCGGCTCGCTTTGAACCAGAAACTCTCGGGGCTGGGGAAGCTGAGCACGCAGCTCTTCCTCCCATCGTCTGGGTTGACGAAGACCCCGGCGAAAACAGTGAAAGGCATGACGATGAGGATAACGAGGATCCAGACACATAGTGAGATGATCTTGGCTGCTCGGTAGGTGCGGTAAGGCATGCGTTTGGACCTCACTGTGGCCAAAACAACCAGGTAGCGGTCAATGCTCATGACAGTCAGGAAATAGATACTGGAGAAAATGTTGTAGTGGTCTATGCTGAGGATGACTTTGCACAAAACATCACCAAAAGGCCAGTAGTGCAGCAAGTGTTCGGCTATGTTGATCGGCAACACCAAAGTGAACAAATCATCGGCGATGGCTAAGTTCAGGATGAACATATTGGTTACTGTTTTCATCTTGGGGGCTTTGAGGATCACGTAGATGACGGCCGTGTTGCCTGTCAGCCCCACTGCGCAGATCACAGAGTAGATGATCGGTAAAATGACGTAAAAGTCAGCGTAGAAGTAAAACTCTGAAGGTAGAGTGCAGTTCAGGTCACTGATGTTCCCGGATGTCAGGGAGTAGAAATCCACAGAGTCGTTGCAGACTGGGGGTGCCCCACCAGAGACGGACACATTCTCCATGTTTGAAAACACTAAGAGTCTCTGAGCATTGTGAAAACAATTTTAACCAATTATAAATATATTACAAATTACTTTTTTTGAAAGATCATGGGTGGATTTGTTTCCCTTTTTTTAGACACCTCTTTCACAAGATACATGAGTAATTTGGTATTGAGCGTGAAAAGTTAGTTATGCACAGTTCAGCAAACACAAAGGCTCAATTACATCAGTGTAGAGGATCAGTCTGTAGAGCAACAGTTCCCAGCAAAAGTCAATTCATTTAGGATCAGTATAGTTTCACTGTTGTTTCAGTTAATAGGGTGTTTGAGAGAAACATCAAAGAATTATGTTACCTTTTCCCATGCACTCCTATTCACTGTACATACTTTTACAGACATAAAGACATTTTATGCATGAATATAAATCCTGTCAGATTATGTCTGGTGAAAATCTCACCCTAGCAGAGTTGGTCTGTGATTCACTGAGGATGTTCGGTGTCCTTGATCCCTAAATCAGCAGTTTTGTGTCAGGGTAGATTTTCAAAGTCCAGTGTTGACACATCGTTTTATCTCCACTGGTGTTCCCCTTCACTTTTCCCTTCTGAAGTCGGCTTGACCATCACATTCAGTCTGCCTTTGTTGCGTTTGCCCTCATACAAGATATCCTTCCCCTCCTCTTTAAATATCTCCTCCCCCGTTTCCGAAGATTTACAATGAGAATATGAAGTTTGAACGTTTCCACGATAATAGATACGAATTGCTTCAAGCGGTGGTGCTTCCTCTCGTTGCTTCATGCGCGATCCGTAGAAAGTGCCAAGGTTTTACGCACGAGTTGCGCATCCCAAAATCTGAACGAAAGAGAGACATCAATTATTTGCCTCGCACACAGTTCAAACACAGCAGGACACATCGTGAATGTACTAAGATAGGCAACAGGTGGAGCTTATCCGCCTGTCAATAACCTTTATTTCTAAATCAAATACATAACAAAAATATATACAACCGGTAAATCTCCTGTTTATTGAGATTGGAAACATTTTGTCACGCGATATAAATCCCTGTTGGCAAAGTTAATCTACTGGTTTTATATCCAAAGCCATGTATAGCCTACACAATAACGAGTTATAGATAGAAAGCGTACATTATCAATAAAAGTATTTCGCAAATATGAAAGTGAATTGAGTTACCTCTGTCTGTGTGCCTGATAAAGTCAATCTCCTCCAGTCCGTCCTCTGAGGTAAACGCGCAGCTCTGCAGCCTCTGCCCGGGACTCTCTCTCTCTCTCTCTCTCTCTCTCTCTCTCTCTCTCTCTCTCTCTCTCTGAAGGCAGCACCACCGACCGACGTCATCACGAGATCCCCGTGTCAATCATCTCAAAATTAAATTATTTTTTTCCTCCTTTTGTAAGGGAAGCAGTTTAGTACGTTTGTCCTTTGACTTCACTTGAGCTATGGTGCATGATGTCGCCACTCTATTCTCCGTCAATGAGATATTACAGGTGTTTTTTTATTGAGATATAGCATGGCTTGTGTAAAACGACGGTTCCCTTAATGTGTCCCTTCAAATTAAAAAGTAATTACTAATTTAGTTTAATATACTTTCTCTCTTTTTGTTTACAACATCATCTTTTGGTTCACATTTTAAGCAGCCCATCACAGCTGTTTCAGTGAAAGAAAGTCTGATAAATCCACTGATTACTACCTGCACATCCACAACAAGTATTATTTGGTCTTTGCTGTTGAGCTGATAAATGCTCCACTATGTTAGAAAAAGAGCTAGATATTTCCTCAGCAGTCGGAGGGGATCAGTACTGTGGGGGACTCAAGAGAAAACAAACAATTGGTAACTCCTTTCAGAGCCGAATAGGAAACTACAATTGTTTTCCCAGGTGGAGCAGCTCTCCTCATGATGGGTACACTTGGTAAAGTGGCACTTTAAATTGAGTCTACCTTTTAAATCTTCTATTTATATCTTTAATATATCAACTTTTTTCGACTTAAAAGGGGGGCTTTGTTATTTTTTTCGACTTAATGCCTGTATGACTGCTATGGTGCTGGATTGAGGTAATTCTATATTGTTTCAAGGGGGCCTCCGGCGCCATTATTTTAGGGACATAAGTGAAGGCGGGAGACAGAGGGGATGAAACATGGCAAATGGTACCAGGCCTTATTCATACCCCGGTCTTATCAATTGAGCTATACGGCGGCCCGAGGAAATTCTATTTTAAAGAAGTTTCCGGTTTCTCATGCGCCATCTAAGAGTTTTTAACTGAACATTTTGATCACATCGGCTGAGTTTTTTCAAAGTCAAGTGTTGGCCTGGAGGGAGACACATTGAAATCTTCTGTGGAAATCAAAAACTTCCAAAACTTCCTCCATGACATGTGAGATGGAAGAAACTGTCTAACTCGTCGATTTCAAGAAAGTTTTTGACTTGCTCTTTACAGTGTGATGGACAGTCGGAGTTGTATTGTCTGAAAGAAAATGTGTCACACATGCCAGATACGAGATATCCTTCCTCATTCCAACTCCTGTTTTCTTCTTCTTTCAATTTTCTTAGCCGATATCCTAAAAATGAGAGATCATGGGATTGATGCTTCAGGTCACTTCAAGCTGCATGGTGTTCTCTCTCTCCCCGTGCTTTACCTTTCTAAGTATTTCTTCTCATATCTCGCCAGTTCCTGTTTTTATCTCTTTGTGTCAGTACCTGAAGAGCATATTTTAAATACTTTGAATTGCCCAGATGTATGTGCTGGTTCTGAGATAGTGTAAGCCTTTCAAGACAAACAACTCTGAAAACAGCATTTTGAGACAGTTTTCTGTTTTTAAAATTACATTTTCTCAAAATGCGTGAATGCCTTTTTACGTGGGCCTGTGTGTGTTTCTGTGTGTTTGTCTTTCTGTCCGTTTTTTGTTGTTGTTAAGGTCACATTTAAAGGTATTTTTTCACATGTTATGTCCAGTAACTTACATTTGTAGATTTACAGAAGTAGGGCTATACTGTTTCAAAATTAAAAAAAATGATTTAATGCAATGATTTGATACAGAACTTGCAAAACCCTTAAAGTTATGTTTGTAAAATAAATACATGTATGTATCCTTTAACAACATAATTGTTCTCATCTCTTGTCCCAACTGCCTTCGGGTTTATGACACCCCTTTATAACCTTCCTCTTCTCTTTAAAAGTGGATTCATTCCCATAAGCTGCCAGTCGACACTTTGATCCCTCGCCTCAGCACTATATTTGAGATTTACACTTTTCTTTTAAAACCACCTTTGCTTTAAGCTCACCAACTATTTGAATTCTCGACTCTGCTGCTGTCACTCGCTGTTGTTCTTTTTGCCCTGCTGTTTTCTACGTACCAAATGTGGAAACTCAATTTATTCTTCCATTCTTCTAAATGGCTTCAAGACAGCATCATTTATTCTTTACTGACACAAACTGAAGCACTGAAACATGAACAGCTTCCCTCAAGTGCTGAGCGTCAACCAAACATTCCTCGTAGGTGGCAATGAAGAAACCTTTTGTGTTATTTTTTTATATCAAGGGAGTCATTGTGATCTACGCAGCAGTATGTGATGGATCTTAAAGTGTAATACAGTACCTGGCAGTCAGAAAACTTGAATAAAACATAAACCAGTT